CCTCATAGATGGTGGTACATAGTTGGTGTAATTTTTATTTGATTTAAATGTTATTTTAATTTTTATATAAAACCTGTATTTTTAATGTAGTTTTATAATTTTTTGTGTAAAATCGAGTTCTTGAATATCTTTTTTAAATGATCCATGTTATTATCTTCTATTAGATTTTATTCCCTTATGTGCGGAATTGATTAAAATAAATTATTTTATAGTAATTAATAATAAAATTATTATAAAAAATAATATTATCTGTAATTATATTTAAAACATCTTAAATTAATAGTAAATATATAAAATAGTTATTGATAGTTAATATAATAATCATAATTAAATATATTTTTTATTATTAATTTAATAAATAAATTTATATTATAATAAAAACTTTACTGTATTATAAATAAACATTTAATCATGTTGAATAATTGAATATTATATTGCAAATAAGGAGAGAAATAGTATAAACAAATAGACAAAATAATAGTCAAATTTGATATTCAATTTTCAAATTAAAGAATGGAGATAGAACCTTGTTATTAAAACAAACTTTAAAAAAATATAATAATCCATGTTAGCTTATAAAAAATAAGTTGGTAACTTTGAACTTATAAGTCAATTTTCATAGTCAATTTTACTTAAGCTTCTACGTGCAACTATTTATGATTGTTTTTTACAAGTTTTATTTTTGAGGTAAAACTCTAATTAAAATTAAGAGCAACATAAAAGATATTACATGTGAATTTTACTTTTAAATAATTTTTTTAATTACTTAAGGTATAATACTAATTTTTTTTTTATAATTTGTCACGAATTAGTATAACGAATTTTAATTTGTTTACATAATGAGATTGATTGTAATTTTTATATGTAAAATATTTTTTATTTTAATTTTTACAATATAGTATATTTTTATATAAAGACAAAATAAAAAATATTATGTATAAACAGTAAAAATGTGTTACATATAAAAATTAAAATTAACAAATAAATATAAAATAAAGACGCTATAAACGATAATAATAACTACTATATTGAAAAAAATAATTAAAAAACAATATATATATATATATATATATATATATATGTTTTTGTATAAAGATCAAATTAAAAATGAATTTATAAAATACATTTTAATGAAATACATAATTTAAGTTAAATTATATAATACATTTAAAATATTTAAACATTTAAAATTTAAACTAAATAGATACTTACTCATAACAAAGGTGAAGCATAGTTTGTTTAATGAAAAGCAACCAAAACATTGCACGACACGTAACATGTTCCACACGAGCCATGCAGTGGCCAGAAAAGGAAATCAAGGGGGCCATGGATATAAAAGGCAGATAGACTGGAATAGAAATGAAGGCATAAAAAATCTAGAAGGTAATTGAACTATTTATCATTTTTATGAATGCTATCATCAAAATTTAGGGAATGTAGCTACTTTTGCACAATTACACTACCAGAAAACCAAGAGACTACTCAACCAACCATAGAGAGAGAACAAAATAACATGATGTTGAAAAAGATGATCAAGTAAGAAGTGTTCAATTAAAAGATTCAAGAAAGGAAGAAGACACCGCGCTTGCAAAAACAAAGGAGTAGTATTCAAGTCAAAAGAACTGTTTGGATGAACGGAAAGCCAACACACGTGATGTTGCTTAGGCACAAAATAAGCAATTTAACATACAATATTCGGGTACACAAGTCCTTGGAAAATAACCAAAAAATGGTTAATACCTCAGCAGGAGTTGCTAAAACTAAAAGATATTGGATTACTTCAACAAAAACACCAGGTTTTGATTTTGCAAGACCAACAGCACAAACAGCTTGCTCCTCCCCACTATATTCAGGACATTGCCCATCCCTATGGACGCAGCAGTATTAGATAAGAAGTACTGCAGCACATGCAGATATGAGTTCCACTAAATAGCTATAAAAGTCTTAAAAATTCGAACACATTAACAATTAAAAGAACATTTATCACATAAGAACATTCCTTACCAAATTTTTATACATAACAATTAAACAGCCAAAATAATTATAGAAAAGTAATAGTAGTTCAAACAGAAACTTGAAGAAACTAGATGCATAGAAAGTTTATCTTCAACCATTAAGCACCCTTAAAACCTTTTTTAACTTCATAGTCAAAGTTGTCCCAGTAACATTCGTACAATAATTACTCAAACTTGAAGCAAGGGCTATTGCAAAGAAACAGCAAAAAATACATGGTCATTGCTTGAATGTCTGCTAAATACAAAAGGCACGAAGCAACTCCATGCCAAAAAATTAATCGATATTGATTATTCATTGCTTTAATGTCTGCTAAATACAAAAGGCAGGAAACAACTCCATACCAAAAAGTTCATCAAGAAATTAAGAGTACTCCACTGTAAGTTGCCCAACCAGGTACATGATGTTCTAACTTACGACTTATGTAAAAATTAAGAGTCATTTCACGTTAATTTGACTTATATATTAAAAATAAGACATATTTCAAATTTTTTTTTTAAATGGGACATTTTTTAAGTTTTTTAATTTTAAAATTTTAAAAAAATCCACGCATGGAAGTTATTTTACTTTTAGAAATGAATACTTAAATTTCTATATTACATAGAGATGAAATATATAAAACATATTTGAAAAATTAAAGAAAAATGCTATCAGTGCTGTTAAAATATTAGTTAAGAAATTTAAAATAATTTTTTATTAGAACCAAAAACAAGTATTTATTTATGTGATAAATTAGTAATTTTTATTTAATAATTAAAAATTATTGACATAAAATATAAAAAGATAAAATTATTCCTAATTAAATCCATGTTGCGAAATTAGGACAACCTTGCGACAAAAGAAAGAGAGCAATGATTCTATGGCCAATGCACTGACGTGTGCTTTTGCAAACTCTCTGACACACAGTGACGCGTGAATATTTTTATTATTACCAAGAGTTCAAGATGACTTGTGTCATAAAAGAGGCATTATCTAACAAGTCAATTTTTATTTTTTTTAAATTTCCGTTCTTATATCCAACCGGTTCATGATTTTATCCTTTTTAATATATCACTTTGCTTTAAATTATTTTTCCATTTGAAAATATGGAATCCTTATTGATTTAAAGTTGTATATCATTAAGCAGCATATACAATAATTTTCAAGAAAAAAAAAAGGAAGTTTCAGATATATGTTTACTTTGTACTTTGTTTTTAGTTAATATATTTTTTATTTTGCTGGTTTTAGCGGCTAGAGGACCATTCACTTATTATTATTAAGAAATTTATATGCAAAGTGGCTCATAGGCTGTTCAATTTTGGTTTAATTATATAAACATGGAACCAAGGCTTCTAACACGGACACGAGGATTGATAAAGAGAAAGTAAACACGGATGATTCTTATTTTTTCATAACTTTCTTCTAGATAATGGTTAAGAAATTTAACATAAATATTTGTGATGTTAAATGGTGTAAGTAATGTAGTTATTACTTTGTAAATATACATTTAATAGTAAAAAAATTTAACTATTAATACATTTCAAATTTATTATATATTTTTATAACCAAGAAAAAAAAATACTTCATTTTTTTATTTGTAAAAAAGACAGAATGAAGTACCAAAAGATATAAAAATTTAATATTATTAATATATTTCATAATTTTTAATTATTGTCCTTAAAACACTTGTTAACATCATTCTGCTACTTTTTTCCTTTTTTTTTGTTTGAAAAAATAAAACATTATTCTTATTTATCTATTTATGTAAAGGTTTAATATTATATTAATTACTATTTTAAAGTATTATTTTGGTTTACGTAAAAAATTTGAGTATAATAAAAAATATTTGCATTGTCGGAATGGTTTAAATTTCAATTAAAAATAGTATAGTATAATATAATAAATAATAAATAATAAATTTTATTTAATAATTTTAACAAAATAATTAAATTTTTAATCTGTGTATCGTTTTGGATAAATAAATGGGAATGAAGTTGGTAATTTTGTTTTATTAATTTTGAGTCATCAAATATAAAGATATTAAATTTATTTATTTTTTATTTATCATTAAAAAGTTATCAGAAAGAAGTATTGTAAGAGAATATAACCAATCTTCAAAGTTAATCAATAGTTTCTTTTTTTAAAGTTTGATAAGTCATTTAATAGATTTAAACCCTTACCTATTCAACCTCATTAATTTCACGAAACCTTCATTCCCTGTAAACTAAACAGCTCATAATGTAATATTATACAGCTCGCAGTTTAATATTTTACAGCTCATAATGTAATATTATACTTATTATTGTCCCAGTTAACATAGCTTATTTTCGACTTAAATATATTCTATTTTCACATGCAAAATTGCACAGGCTTGACCTATAATAACTCACATCATAAATTATGAAATATCAAATTAAATTAACAATACTTTTGAATAAAAATTAAAGTTAATAGCACAATTAACCGTAGATACACGTAAACTTTTTGGAACACTGGAAAGAAATATTATCATAAATGTTATTTACTTTAGAAGATAAAAAAGGAGTAATTCTCAACAATCTAGAACAAAATGGAATGTGCACAAAAGCACGTGGATCATGAGTGGTTCACGATCAATGAAAACCTTGCATCTAAAGAATAGGACAAAGGCACCAAAAGGTTCAACGAAACCAGCATCGCGATACTGCATCTAATTTGCATGCAACGACACAGTGAAAAAGCAAGCTCGGTTCCCATTTCCCCAAGACGTAACAAACTTCAGCGCGGAACTCGGGGGCATTTCGGTCGTTTTCTCTGCCTTCGAAAATCGCGGTTGCTCCTTCGACTTCCATTAAAACCAAATTAAACCGACACACCACAAATCTGCTCTTTCACACAAACACACTCACTTTGTCAATTCTCACTGCCAAACAAAACCAAAACCACTAGACACGCGAAAAGCAGTTGTAGAGAGAGAGAGAGAGAGAGAGAGAGAGAGAGAGAGAGTGAGAAAGGTGGAGAGAGAAACTATGGCGGCTTCTGATGGAAGCGAGTACTTCGAAATAGCATCTTTAGGGAACGAGAGCTTCGGCAGAGCGTCGAACGCCGACACGGTCGAGGAGGACGAGGAGGAGCTGCAGTGGGTGGCGCTCGCACGATTACCGTCGCAGAAGCGCATCAACTACGCCGTCCTCCGTGCCTCCTCTTCCCGCCAGCGACCTCCGACGAGAGGCGCAGGCGAAGAAAGCTTAGTCGATGTGAGAAAGCTGAGCCGTTCTTGCCGCGAGCGCGTTGTTAAGAAAGCACTCGCCACCAACGATCAAGACAACTACCGCCTCCTCTCCGCCATCAAAGAACGCCTCGACAGGTTCCGGTTTCGAAATATCATTTACTTTATTTATTTATTTTATTTTCCGCGTTTGCGATTTTTCAAAATCACGGATCTGAGTTTTTATCAATCATTGTTGACTCTGGATCGCGATAGGGTTGGATTGAAGGTGCCAAATGTTGAAGTGAGATACAAGAACTTGAACGTCACTGCTGATGTTCAAATCGGTTCAAGAGCTCTACCGACTCTGATTAATTACACTCGCGACGCCGTCGAGGTTAATTTCGTCATAATTTTTTACTGCTGTTTTGCATGATGCATTGTCGTGTGATTGATGAGTGTGTGCGTGAGTGTGAGGGTGAGGTGATTTTGACTATTGTTTTATGCGGTTGCGCACAGAATATCTTAACCAAGTTGCGGATATTTCGACCAAAACGGCATTCCCTTACCATATTGGACAATGTCAGTGGCGTCATCAAACCTGGAAGGTGAATAACGCTTTCTTCTTTTTTGCCTGTTTTCGTCTGCGGCTCGTTAATGTTACTGTTATACGCAACCGCTCGAGAACATGGTTTTATCAAAATACTCGGTTATTATAATTTGTTTTAGCATGTGTTGAATCGAGTCACTTCTATTTTCAGGCGGATCAGATAAGATGAAATAGGTAGGGTTATAGTAATTGGGATTTGGGACGGCACTTGATAATTAATTAATCAATAGTTTTATCACGGGTGAAGTTTCTTTATTTGATAGGTTCAGAGCTTTCATGTGTGCTTCGTTGTAACCGTTATCCAACTTTTTTTTTCTGCCCAGGATGACTTTGCTACTAGGACCTCCGGGAGCGGGCAAATCCACCTTACTTTTGGCTCTTGCTGGCAAGCTTGATAACAACCTTAAGGTGCTATATCTATATTGGTATTGATAAATGAACATGCGTAGAAGGCATTTAATCTTCGTATTACTAACAAAGCCAACTGATAAGTAATTGGTTGAAGGTAAATTCTAGTGAAGATCTTTAGGCAACTATAAATTAAATGTAAAAAATGTCACTCAATATTTTTAGGACATTGTTTAAAATATTTATTTTTTTTTATTAAAAAAGAGTAAAATATTCTAATCCTATAATTTTTAATGTACTACAACATGTTTTTTTAATATTATTAAATTTTTAATTAATGCTTTTAAGAATTAATTAACATGATTATTAGTTAAATAATTGCAGATAAAATTTTTATTAAAAAGAATATGATTTTTTATCATAAATTTTAAAATTAAAATAATAATAATTTTTTTAGTAAATCTTTAACTAGTGTTATATGTCAATAACCTAATCAGTATTGTAGGTGCTACTTACCAAATATAACTACTAGTGAATTTTTCATACACTAGTATATTGAATACATTTAGTTCCTAAAAGTATTCACATTTGAATTTTCTTAAAAAAATATTCTTGTTTTAAATTTTATACTCAAATTATATATAAAAATTAATAATGATTATTTTTTTATATAAACTTTTGTGTGTATGTGATGGTTTATAAATATCTTAAAATAATTAAATAAATTTAAACCTTCTTTTAATTAAATAACTAATTAAAGCAAAAATTAACGGATTTGTGACTTGTGAGCGCTTGTGTATTCTTTTTTTATTTTTTTAAGAGTATTTTTTATAAGGACACCAGAGAAGATTGGAGGATTTGAATTGACTCCACCTATTCACGTGTAATCGTAGCATTGGAAACAAAAATAAGAGGAAAAAAAAAATTCAGATATGTATAGTGATGAGATTTTGTAGTAAAGGCTTCTCGGTGTTGGCTCCTGTTGAATAGATTGGGTGTTTTTATTTGGTTATTTGTAATTCTGCCGTGTTTTTCCAAATTCCAAGCCATACATTTTGGAGACGATACTTTTTTCTTTTTGTGGAATGGATACTGTAAGCTACTCTTATAATTTTTCTTCTTACCGTCCTATTCCTACAGAAGACTGGTAGTATAACATATAATGGTCATGAGATAGATGAGTTTTATGTTCAACGGACTTCTGCATACATTAGCCAAACAGATAATCACATTGCAGAACTGACAGTACGCGAAACTTTGGACTTCGCTGCTAGATGCCAAGGTGCAGAAGAAGGTTTTGCAGGTATGTTAATTTAATTATGTTGAAAGATTTTCTTTATGTTTGATAATTAAATTTCTAAGACAAAATGTGTTTGATTCTCTCGAATTCCTGACAAGTTTATCAATTGCTTTCTTCCCCTTCTGTCTTCTCTTTCCACTCTTTCTTACAGTATATACGAAAGAACTGAACCGCCTAGAGAATGAAAGGAACATACGACCTAGTCCAGAAATTGACGCGTTTATGAAGGTTGTCTTTCTAAATGTGTAGGAGTAGTATATGACAGTAACACATGCCTGCACGTGTTTATACAGGGCTATCCTTACGTCTTGTGCGAAATTTGATGAACTTCACAGGCATCATCTGTTGGAGGTAAAAGGCACAGTGTGAACACGGATTACATTTTGAAAGTGCTCGGTCTCGATGTATGTTCGGAGACAATAGTGGGCAGCGAAATGCTAAGGGGGGTATCAGGCGGCCAAAGAAAGAGAGTTACAACAGGTTTTTCTCTCCCCCTTCTTCAGGAGTAAACTGCATTTGTCGTCAGCATCTTTAATGTTCGTTTCTGAATGACTATCGTTTTACACCCTATTATTATTTGGGTGCAGGAGGTGAAAAAAAAAAAGATGAAAAAAGAAAAGAAAAGAAAAGTAGGGATGTCATAAAAATAGAAAGAAAAAAAGTCATATTTTAACATCTCAAACAGTTTTTAAACCAGATATTGTATTTTTTTATGTTAAAATATTTTTTATATTTTAATACTAATATAATAAATAAAAATATGAAATAAATATAAAAAAATATTTAATACTTAAAAATATTGAATGTCTTGTATAGATACCCATTTTAAATGTTAAAATAATAATTTTTAAAGAAAAATAAATGTAAAATAAGTGAAAACTATTTTGAGTGGATGGATGTTATGTTTTTTGTTTTTGCCACTGTTCTTTTCGTTTTCTTTTACTCTAGGTTAATTTAATGTTTCTAATTAAAAATCTAACGTATTATAGAGAATTATGTTTCAACGCCACGTTGTACTTAGATGAGTAATATAATGCTTGTACTTTGGTAATAGTGCTTGCAGTTAGTATATTGCATCTTGGATTGATTAGGAGTTTCTAGATAGTACCAAAAATGACGAATATTAAAAATGTTTTGACTGCATCTGAACTGGAAGACTTCAAATACTGAGATGACTCTGATTTAAGTCGTGCAGTTGCAGCAATCAATGACATCTTGTCTTGCTTCTTTTAGGAGAAATGATTGTTGGTCCAAGAAAAACGCTATTTATGGATGAAATATCAACTGGTCTTGATAGCTCTACTACGTACCAAATAGTAAAATGCATAAAGAATTTTGTTCATCAGATGGAGGCTACAGTACTCATGGCTCTCCTTCAGCCAGCTCCTGAAACATTTGATCTATTTGATGATCTGGTGCTTCTGTCAGAAGGGCACGTGGTATATGAAGGCCCTCGAGAAGATGTTCTTGAGTTTTTTCAGTCAATTGGTTTTCAACTTCCACCTCGTAAGGGGATCGCAGACTTTCTTCAGGAGGTGTATCTTCTTAACATCTTAACATATATACTTTCATGATCAAGTGCTTCCTTTTTTTTATTGCTAACATTAAGTGCTTCCTTTAATTCTTGCTTATATTCTTTTCTTTTGTCAGGTGACCTCGAAAAAGGATCAAGCACAATACTGGGCTGATCGTTCAAAACCGTATGAGTTTGTCTCAGTTCCTGAGATTGCAGAAGCCTTTAGAAATTCCAAATTTGGAAGTTATATGGAATCCATGCAGACACATCCATTTGATAAATCAAAATGTCATCCTTCAGCTTTGGCTACAACTAAATTTGCCGCCTCAGGATGGGAGATTGCTAAAGCTTGCTTTGCACGAGAAGTCCTTTTGATCAGAAGGCACAGTTTTCTTTATACTTTTAGGACCTTCCAGGTATTCTTGATTTGATATAGTATTCAAAACTAGTTTTGTTTGAATTCTTTCTATCATTCGTAAATCGGTGCACTCTTTATTAAGTGAAAGTCTGATATCATCGTAAGAATAGAGTTTTAGAAGCCAAACCCAGAGCACTAAAATACTTTCGGGTTAAAAATGTTATTGCATATAATTTTATGATATTTTAATTTTAGTTATTGATTTTTTAAAATTAATTATTTGAAATTTTAATAATAGCGTGATATAACGAAATATTAATACATAATACAATAAACAAATGATATGTGACATTCTCTTAATTATGTTATTATTAGAAACAAAGACATGTTAAATTTACAAAAATTAGAGACAAAAATTGAAACAAAAAAAATTTGAGAGGCTAAATTAAAATTTTTATGAAAATTTAGAAACCAAATACATATTTAAATCAATACTTCTTTATTGAATATTAGTGTTAAGTAGCATAAAGAATAGTTTCGAAGAAACAGAAATTTTTAGATTTCTGTTTGATTTGATTTTTTTTCATTTTTTTATTTTATTATAAAATTATGAACTATTTTTATTTTTAAAATTTAAAAAGAAATAATGAAAACAATACTTTTACTAGTTTTTTGTATTAATATTTACAAATAAAAAATATAGTAACTGTTTTGTAATAATTGGTAAAATAAAAAAAAGTAAAGAAATATTTTCTCCAATCCCATATTCAGTCTTTGTAGTTTTATAGCGGTCGACTGACTCATGTGCATGGTCTCCTATTCCCAACTTCTTACCATGATTCCATCTCGTAGTACCTCACGTAGGTAGACCTTCCACGGTCACTGCTTGTTCAGATTTATAGAGTGCATGTCTTAATTGAAAATTTGATAAACTCATAAACACCCACTTTATGAAAATCAATTTTAGATTTGGCTCATAATGTTACACTGCAATATTTATTGTAATTTATATTATTTGCTTTTGATGACATCTATGATTGTTATCATTTGTAATTTGATAAACTCATAAACACTCAAAAAATCTAATTTAACATTTGGCTCATCGAAGTTACACCACAATCCTCGTTGTAACTTTTAATTACTGGCTTTTAGGAAAAACATACTATTTGTAAGTTGGTGGAGTCTTTTTTTTTTTTTTTTATGTATTTACATTTGTGTTTTTTTTTTTTGTCAATATGTATTTACGTTTCTTATCTTGCCAAAGGTTGCTTTCGTTGGATTTGTCACATGTACAATATTCCTGCGAACAAGGTTACACCCCACAAATGAGCTTTACGGAGACCTTTATCTTTCAGCTCTATTTTTTGGGCTGGTTCACATGATGTTTAATGGGTTTTCGGAGCTGCCTCTTATGATAACCCGGCTTCCAGTATTTTACAAGCAAAGAGATAATTTATTCTATCCTGCATGGGCGTGGTCTCTTACCAGCTGGATTCTCCGTGTACCGTATTCCATTATTGAGTCTGTTATATGGAGTATTGTTGTATATTACACGATTGGATTTGCCCCTGCAGCGGGAAGGTATCGTAATTTTATTTCATCTTTTTGCGAATTTTCTTTTTAACCCTCGTAATCACTGCATTTTGTTAAATATTTCAGGTTTTTTCGCTACATGTTTTTACTTTTTGTAATGCATCAAATGGCATTAGGTCTCTTCCGGATGATGGCTTCTATTGCACGAGATATGGTTCTTGCCAATACATTTGGATCAGCTGCACTACTGATTATATTCTTGCTGGGAGGATTTATTGTACCTAAAGGTAGGTAGGACCACAAATTGTCAAAGAAAAGTTAACAACATTGCTCTTAGTGATTAGGTTGTTATTCGTTCAGGAATGATAAAGCCATGGTGGATTTGGGGCTACTGGTTGTCACCACTTACCTATGGACAACGTGCTATCACAATTAATGAATTTACTGCTTCAAGATGGATGAAGGTATTTCATTTGGCTATGTAACTATCTTATTTTTCTTTTACTTCATGTATTCATGTGTTAATATTGTCAAGGACTAACCGTACCCAAGAAGTTAACCCCTGAAGAATGATTTTTATTTCTGGTACCTTCTCACGTGATAGCCTCTGAGCTTTTATTAAGCGTGGTAAAAGCCTAGTCGTACTTTAACTTGTGCTAAAATTAAACTTGATTTAATTATGAAGAATGAGTGCAACAAAGGTTAAACTTTCACCTGGTTAGAGACTTTAATACCTTTCAAGAGTCAACTCATCAAAATCTTAAGCTGAACCACCATATGTAAACTTTATTTGGGATAGCTTTATAGAATATTTATGGTTTACAATGTTAAATTTATGCAGAAATCAGCAACTGGGTTCAACACAATTGGTTACAATATCCTCCACTCACACAGTCTACCAAGTGCTGATCATTGGTATTGGATTGGTGTTGGAGTTTTGATAATATATGCACTTTTTTTCAACAACATGGTCACTGTGGCCTTGGCCTATCTGAATCGTAAGTTTTGAACAATATTTCCCAATATTTCTCCATTTTAGATCATGCTTTCTCTCTTAATATTTTACTACCATTTCCTTTGGACAGTGAATTTCTTGTGTCATGGATATTTGCTTGTGTTATCTTTATTTCATCCCCCTTTTCTTCTTTGTCTCAATTACTTTTTAATACAGCACTTCAAAAAGCACGATCAGTTATTTCCTCGGGTGATGACTCAGAAAAGAATTCTTCCAGAGATGGTAATGATCCAGCCATAATTTGCATGAATAATTCTGTTGGACCAGAGATTCAAAGATTGATATTGTATTGACCAAAAATGTCTCACAATCCATCACTTGGTTGTTCAGCCAATAATCAGGTCTATGAATTGAGTACCCGTGCCAGATCCGCAAGAGAGGACAGTAATAAGAAAGGAATGATTCTTCCATTTCAACCATTGACAATGACATTCCACAACGTCAATTATTTTGTTGATATGCCAAAGGTAGGGCGACTTGCAATTTCTAATTTTATCAACTGAAATACTACACTTTATTAGGGCATACACAGCAGAAAATATTGGAGAGATCTTGCTTCCATTGACTCAATCGAAAAGAACTTTTTTACAGGAGATAAGCAAGCAAGGCATAACTGAAACTCGGTTGCAGCTCTTGACAAATGTGAGCGGAGTTTTCTCACCTGGTGTCCTTACAGCATTAGTGGGGTCTAGTGGGGCCGGAAAGACCACTTTAATGGACGTTCTTGCCGGCAGGAAAACTGGAGGGTATATAGAAGGGGACATTAAAATATCAGGTTACCCAAAGGAGCAAAAGTCATTTGCTAGAGTATCAGGATATGTTGAACAAAATGATATACATTCTCCTCAAGTAACAATTGAGGAGTCACTATTGTTTTCTTCATCTCTTCGCCTTCTAAAGGAAGTTGGCGTTGCTAAAAGACTTGTATGTTGTTTCATGACTAATTGTATATCTGATTGTATTGAATTATTTCCAAACCATAATTAATTGAAATATTCTACAGGAATTTGTTGAACAAGTAATGAAACTAGTTGAGCTTGATACTTTGAGACATGCTCTGGTTGGTTTGCCAGGTAGTTCTGGCTTATCAACAGAGCAGAGGAAACGTTTAACAATAGCAGTGGAGCTTGTAGCAAACCCTTCCATTATTTTTATGGATGAGCCTACATCTGGACTTGATGCACGTGCAGCAGCTATTGTTATGCGAACTGTTCGTAATACTGTTGATACTGGAAGAACTGTGGTTTGCACCATACATCAACCAAGTATTGATATATTTGAAGCATTTGATGAAGTTAGTTTAGTTACAGCTTTTTAATTCGTTTTCTGTTTTGATGGCCAATGGTGCAGCTTCTATTAAGGAATCTAAACCTTGGTTTCTGCTCTACCCAGTTACTTCTTATGAAACGTGGGGGACAAGTAATATATGGGGGCAAGCTTGGTGTGCGGTCACAGATAATGATAAACTACTTTCAGGTATGGTTAAAATATAGTTTTGTATCATCATTACTTTTCACTCCTTAATCACGATTATCATCAGTACATCAAGGTAGTAACTTAGTCAATGGAACCTAAGATGACACCATCTTTTCATGGAAGGTAATCTATATGATGCCATGTAGTGTTGCATTCAGTCAAAAAAATTGCACCTTAATAGAACCCATTCTCAAATGTCTATCTTGTTCCTAAACCGTTATCTTTTTTAGTTACAACTAGAAGAGTGATATTGTAGAATTTCTTTCATTGCTGTTGTTAGCCTTTATGCCCAGGTGGAAACTGGAACTTCCTGCTTTTCCATCAAATTTCCATTTTTTATACACAATCAAATAATAGGTTTGGCTTGTATAAATATGAAATTCTTCTTGTTAGGTCTACTACTTAGCTCAATTTTTTCATTTGTCCTCAGTTTGTTGCCACGAGTAGAGTGGGTCAGGCTGCACTATTCACAGTATTAGATCCTACTGAGTAAGATGTGATGTAGAAAGAACATACAATAGACATTGAGTGAGAAAAGATGAGAGAAAGAATCAGGACTCAGGTGAGTGGAGAATAATGTAGAATGCCAAGAAAACACAGTTCTTTTATAGTCTAGATTAATTTTTCATCATATCAGGCATTTCTAATTTCCGACAATATCCATGAATATGAGTAAGATAGTAGAATGCCTCTGCCTAATTGTTTCTCTGGATTTCTTTTTCTAAAACAAATGTCAAGATGCAAGCTTGCTTTCTTGTGTTGTTTATATTTTTGGCTTCTGTTTATTTTTTAATCTGCTCTGCAGGGAATTAATGGAATACCACCCATTCCAAGTGGCTACAATCCAGCTACCTGGGTGCTTGAGGTTACTACACCAGCTACTGAAGAGAGAATAGGTGCAGATTTTGCAGATATTTACAAGAATTCAGAGCAATACAGGTGCTTTTAATTTGTAGGATTTTAAGTGCAATTGCTAAAGTCTAAAAACCTTGATGTTACAATTCTAAAGATACAGGTGCTAGAATAGAAAGATTTCTTTTCAGATGAATGATTAAACTGTTGAGTCAATGGTTTTCTCAGGGGGGTGGAAGCTTCTATTTTGCAATTTGGACAGCCTCCTGCCGGCTCTAAACCACTAAAATTTGACACAACATATTCACAAAACCTGTTGAACCAATTTTTTCAATGCTTATGGAAACAAAATCTTGTGTACTGGAGAAGTCCAACATATAATGCCATGAGGATGTACTTCACCACAATAAGTGCTTTGATATTTGGTAGTGTATTTTGGGATGTTGGTTCAAAAAGGTAACCTTTCTCTGTGTTCTCATTTGTCGTGAAGGGAATTATTTTAGAATATACATTAAACCAAAGAAGAGGCAAAAATTGGAATAAAAAAATTATGGAACTGCCTAAGGATACAAGGACTCTGAGACCTGATAAAACGATTATTACTTGGGATCTTTTAATGTAAATTAAATCAGACGGGATTGACTTCACTAATTATTCTAAACTGAACCTTTATATATTAAAATTGGATTGTTATATAAGACATCAGAAACTTCTGTTTAATCAAAGATAAGATCAAAGGTTGTTTATGATGCCATTAATCTCTTATTTTAGGGCATCAACTAATGAGCTGTTTGTGATTATGGGAGCTCTATATTCCGCATGCTTGTTTCTTGGGGTAAACAACGCTTCTTCTGTTCAACCAATTGTGTCAATAGAAAGGACAGTGTTTTATAGAGAGAAAGCAGCTGGAATGTACTCTCCAATTGCGTATGCAGCAGCCCAGGTAAGTCTTATAATACTGGTAATTGATTCCATAGCTATATATTTTAAATTGCTGGTAAAGAATGCTCAATCCAATTGACAGGGGCTGATAGAGGTACCATACATTGCTGTTCAGACAATAGTATTTGGTGTAATCACATATTTCATGGTCAATTTTGAAAAGACAGCCGGTAATATTTCAACTTTCCATATGTAGATATTTATTGCTTGCTATTGTTTGGAATTCACTTGCAATTTAGTGTTACAAACAGGGACTGTCACCCATTCTCTCACCAAAAGTCTTTTTCTGTGTGTTGTAAGTCCTAGTTGAGTTATTTACCTTCAATTCATATTACATGGTTTTTTTGGCCGTCGTGTTGGCATCAGTAGATTGATTATTGACAATAGTGGAAACTTCTTTAGACCCAGCTCCTGGATAAGAAATGTTTTCATATACAGTTCCAAATTTTTTGACAGTGCTTTGACATTTTAAACCTATTGTATTTTGTATGTCATTCATATAAATGCTGTTGGTTTTAATGTAAGACGATATATCAAAGAAGGTAGTTAAATTAATATGAACCGAGCAAAAGGTTTCATTAATTAAATAGATTGTTGACGCGAACTATCATTTGTCCTCCAATTCAGAAACAAAAATATGTAGGATGTTTTCTCTCCATACCTGTCTTAATATACCTGAAGGCATTATCTCCCATTTTTTTAGCTTTATTACCTAGTTTACCAGATACATCTCAAGTGGAGCAAAAGGTAACTAATGCTAGATTCTAATATTTACTTGTAATATTATAATTCACAATATGTGGATTCAGAATGTAGAGAACATTTATGCAGAGAGTAAAATTGATGTCTTGTGATGTTGTAGTTATTGGTTTTAGTCATGGAAATAATTTCTGTCAACGAGATATGGAATAAGGATCCTTAATTTGACTCTCCTCTAAGCTTGTGATAGCAGGAGCATTGCGAATTAAGTGTTTCTCGCTTTAATTCAAGAGAGTTTTTGACAACACTTAGATATGCATATATCTTGAGAAGTAAGAAAGGGGAAGAGAAGAGAAAAAGGTGACAAATGTGACGTCTGATGAAATAAAAAAGAAAGGTAGGGATGACGAAAAAATGGGGGTAGAAATTGGGGTGTTAAGCAATCAGGATTTTTTAAACAAAATTGGGTTATTTAAATTTTCCTTGTATATATTCATTTATATTTTAATTATTAAATATTAATATAAGGTGAATGTGTGCTATAATTTCTTCAATTTTTCTGGGGAATTAAATTTGCAAATTTAATTTTTTTACTTTAAGTGTGCTTTCTTTTGAAATGAAAAAGAGAAGGAATAAATGGTTTGAGATGTTGCATGCTAATAAAATCTGTGTTAAAGTGGATAATTTTTTATTTATTGCAGGGAAGTTTTTTCTCTATCTTTTGTTCATGTTCCTGACGTTCACCTACTTCACCTTTTACGGTATGATGGCTGTTGGTCTTACACCTTCCCAACATCTAGCAGCTGTAATTTCTTCAGCATTTTACTCCCTGTGGAATCTTCTTTCAGGTTTTCTCATCCCAAAATCGGTGAGTAATACCATGCTCTTTTAACCCAGAATCGTGTAGTTGATACTGCAGTAAATTCTTACAATTGGATTCTGTTAATGCATTCATTGGTAAATTGTTCTCTATCTGTTTTTCTCTTAAGAGCATTTGCTATTGATCAATATTCTTAAGTTTTACTTGTGCTATTCGAAAAAGAAATAGAGAAATGAATGAACCTTTGCCAGCTATTATCCAAATAGTTTCATGGCTTTTTCAACGATATGAAAAGTTGTCAGTTCTCCCTTGGATTCTAATGATTCTTTACTCCTTGCAATGTCTCAGAGTATTCCGGGATGGTGGGTTTGGTTCTATTATATTTGCCCGGTTGCATGGACATTACGTGGTATTATCACGTCTCAGCTTGGTGATGTGGAAACCAAAATTGTGGGACCTGGATTTGAGGGCACCGTGAAAGAGTATTTATCTGCTAGTCTGGGATATGATAATAAAATCAATGGGTTTTCTTCTGTGGGGCTTTCAGTGATTGTGCTTATTGGATTTATTATTCTCTTCTTTGGTTCTTTCGCTGTATCAGTCAAAGTTTTGAACTTCCAAAAGAGATGAGTGAATTAGTTTGATAAAAATGAGAGAAGCTGCTCTTTAACTTAACATGGCAAGACGTAGATGACTCTGATATTGAATGATATAGATAAATATTTTGTTAAAATTATTTAATAATTTTTTAAAATTAGAATGAATTGTAATTTTGATTTTTATAATGAGGACGGATAATTCATGATCGAAGAGGAATACACTTCGATTAGTGTAGACTTGAGTCCAAAGGCTCACGATGGAAGGATACTGTGTTTATAAAGTCCGATACTAAATTGTGTTTATATTGTCAAGATATGTTAACGCAAAAGGGTGAAATTTCAACACTTACACTATTAATAATTTTTTATAATTTTTTTATTAAATAAATTAATTTTGTTAAATTTCATAAAAAAATTAAATTTAATTATATTTTTATCTTAATAAAATTAGCATATTATATAATAAGTTTTTATAAATTTTTTTGTTGAAATATAAGTTTTTAAAAATTAACAGATTAAGATTTAATTTCTAGTTATGTGATACTTATGCATAAAATGTCATTTAATTTTAAAATACGTTATTATATAAAATAACTATTTACAAACATGTTACTTAAAATTTTTTAAAAATTTAGTAAAAAGTTCCTCTTTTTCTCTTCTCTTTCCTTCAATCTAACCTTCCTCACTTCCTACCTCTTCTATTCTCTTCCCTTCGTTGCACTTTTAAATTTCCAATAACAATTAGTTTTAATGGACATAAAGGCTTTGCAAAATCAAAGAGAAGTCACGTATAATACCACAACAAAAAACATACTGTAGAGGTCACACACAACACTTCAACAAAAAGACACACAATAGTCACAGATCCAAAATTTCTTCACCATCTCTTTCGTTACACTCAATTAACACTGCAAAGAACCTATTCGTGAAGGAGAAGAAAATTCGTGTTTTTTATCTTTATATTAAGGGGTTGGAGTTACAAGGTAGGGTTGGAGGAGGGAGAGGGCTTAGGGTTAGAGGTGAGATTACGTGGTTGTGTTGAGGGAGGAAGATGGGGTTGCCAGAAGAAAAATGAAAAGAAGCGGGAGAGGAAAAGGATGGGGGAGGGGGAGAGGGGGTTGTGGGGAAGGGAAAGGGGTGGAGTTATGGATGCTGGAAAGGAGCGTGGGGAAGGGAAAGGGAGAGCGCGCGAGAATAAGAAAAACTCAAAACAACACAACACAGATAAATACATTATAAAATAATAATAAAAATAAAATCACTATCAATTCCTGTCCAATAACATATATAAATATATCACAATAATAATAATAAAAAAATCACTATCACTTCCCGTCCACTCACTAAGAAGCATGAACTACCATAATTAAAATTGAGATAATAGTTAAGGTAAAAGAGAGAAGATGGGATGATAATGAGAGAGCAAGAAAAAAAAAATAGAAGAATGCAGGGCAAGTTGCAAATAGTAATTTTTTTTGTATAGATAAAATAAAAAAATTTAAAAACAGTATTTTCTTTATTTTATTTTATTTTTTTAAAAAAATTTCAAATATGTCTATTTTTTTTCTAACACAACCGTTCAATTAGGATATAAATCTCCTAGTGAGCATATCACATCCAAGCTAATACAAAAGAGACATTAAGCCGCAATGACTTTTAATATTAATTAATTTTTTTAATAATAAAAAAATGCATCAACTAGTGATGAAGTCGTCACCTTTAATATTTTATCATTACACAATTAAGCAACACAAGAGAAGAGACCAAAAAAAATATATATATATAAAGCAAAAATATAAAAAAAAATTAGAAAAATTAGAATTTTGGAAAAAAAATATTTCAAACCCTCAACTGCTCAAATTTAAGATAGGTCGTATTAAAGCATAAATTATCTTACGCGTATAAATTATAATTTGTTTTATCCACTACGATTCATATATTAAGCAGATTAAGAAATATTTCAAATTTGTTGAAAATAAGACATTTTTAAAGATCTTTTTATTAAAAAAGATCCAAAAGAGTTCATTTGCTCCACATTTAAAAAATAACATATCACAATAAAATTTTATAAAATAATAAAACATTACTTTAAGCAATTGCTGTAACACGTTGCCTGCTAACTATGTGCGTTGTTATGCAGTCTCGTTACGTTAAAAGGTGAGAATTAGGAAAGTGAATTATAGCGTAGGCTACAAGATTTAGAGATCCTGTGTCAATTTTCTTACATGTTTTGGATGCTATGTTGAAACATACGAGGTTGGTGTTGGAGAGCATAATCAATGCATGCGTTCTAGTTAAATAAAATGAAGGCATTTGATCAGTAAATGAGCATTTTTTAAAACTGTTCTTTGCAGAAGAATTCCTAGATGCTAAACCTAGACGTTTAACTGGTGTTGCACCCTTTTACCCTTTTTCTGCTTATTCCCTTTCTTTTGTTTCTTAAGTTTTGGCCTTTGAAAATAATTATGACATTATTATATCAGTCTCCGGTGCATGTTAAAGAAAATCGTGTTTCTCTGTCGTTGTTTCAAATGAAAACAAACTCTTATATCTAATTTTTAATGGAATCATCTTGTCTTGTCAAGGTGTTAAAACCTTATTAGTAGAGTTTTTTCAAGAGTAAATTTTCACTTTAATTGTTTAAACTGTAAATATAGATTAATTTAATTTTTAATTTTACTTTAATCCAACTTTACAAAATGATATTTATTTTAATTTTATATATTTATATACAAACCAACAATAAAAATAAAATAATTATTTTTATAAAATAAAAGCCAAAAATTATGCATGCTCACAAAAATAAGACTAAAATAAATATTTACTCTACCAACCTATATGTGGACATATGCAGTGTCCAAGGGTGTCGACATCTGTTGACTCGGTGCCTCTTATTTATATAGATATACTTTATTGTTTATATCTTTTTTCAGGTGTCAAATAAGACTAAGAACATTGATAGGGGATAAGGACATGACACACAGCCCTGCATGTACATCAAACTTTCCTATTGGGCTTAAGGAAACCGAAAGGATTGCTCTCTAACAATATGCATAAACTTTTGTTATACATTTTTTTCATGTCACCTCCCCTTTTGCCATCTATTATTCCATAGGAAAGATTTTAGTGAAAACAATGCACAAATTAACCAAAAAAATAAGAAGAACAATATCTTATCATTGAGAATGGGAATAAAGCGTTGAGATAAAGTTTTTAAGGTCATCCTATTCTGATTGTAAGATGAATCATGCGAATTAATTTTATGATTTTGTGAAAGATATAGCACATGTTTGAAAGATATTTTTCCTGTCACTAACCCACATCAGAGGGCAGTTTTGGGAGGTTAAAATTTTGATAACGCTAAAATAAGCATTGTTAATTGAAGGCATACAATATATATTGTATAAAAATTTTAAAATATGTCATAATCGAACAAAATTCAAATCAATTTTATTTATTTACTAATGATTTGTTAGTTCACATATAGTGATATCTTATTTTTAATATGAAAAATGTTAAAAATGAACATATTCTTGCACACTTCATGTTATTAATCCATTTTAAGAAAGTCAAAATAACAATTTATGTATTTTAACTTTTCCAAAAAAGTAGATCAGTGGTATGAATGAAACGTACTGAAAAGTGTATTAAAAGAAATAGTATATTGCTTCCATTTCTCTTTTCAATATACTACTTACGTTCACATGCTGGATACATAATAGATGTAAAAACTAATAACGAAGACAATTTTATTAACATTGATTTTTACACCGGATGCAATAAGAAATTCTTATTCGTTGGTACATGAAAGTGAAAAGGATATCTATAAAGAGTAAGAATCCAGACAGAGAATTAAAAGGAAAAGAACATAGGCGTGATTTCAATCCCAAAGTCATTGTTAAGCCTTATTATGAAGAAAGAATTAAATAAAGCACTTTTTAGTATTTTATGATGTAGCTCAAAGCCTCAATTTCAAAGCCACATAGGTTCCACCGTGAATAGAAATTCGACCTCTGCAATTAGTCCAACTGAAGATTTCAGTTATCCATAGTGTGCCCATTACTTTTTCTTGGTAAGGGTAGCAAAATCATTCAAGTGGTGATGGCTTCAAAGGATGGTTCAGCTCCGAAGTTAATCTTAGGATATTGGTCTGAAACATATTAAAAATAAACCATGTCAATTCAAGAATCACTTTATTCAAAACTCTTAAAAATTTTGATTCAATATATATACTTACCGGTTAGTGGAGTTTTGAGAACAAAAAAGCACGCACCAATGACAATGTAACATAGAAAAAGAATCACTCCTTTCATGTAGTGTGAAGTTCCATCCTACCACACACACACATAAAAACACAAATTAAATTATTAATAGAGGAAAAGAAGAAGAAGAAGAAATGGCATGTATAGAAGGCATTGTGCATACTTGTAAAGTGAACGCTGTAATTATAATTGTAAAGGCAAGACATCCAGTTTCAAGAAGATTGAAGTCCAGATCCATTCGTATGCCCATTATCCATGCAACAACTACACTTAATGGAACCTGAAATTGATTGATTATTAGATAATCAAAATTTGTTGATGTTGACAAATAAAATAAAAAGAAGAGCACAAAGATATATTTGTTTAAAATTATCATTAATTACAGCCTTAATTTATTTTATTCTACACACTGCTAGAGTATGATTATGTTAAATGGTAATGCAATCTTACCACAAACATAGAAATTTGAGTTGCAGATCCCATAGCAACACCCAAAGATATGTCCTACATGATAATATGAACCACACAATGTCAATCATTAATTTTAGAGGTAATTAGTAAACTTAAGCTTACATACAAATTGAAAAACCGTACCAACTTATTCTTATAAGCAAATATGATTGAACCGGCATGTTCTGCAGCATTCCCAACAATTGGTAGCAAAATAATGCTAATGAAGCTGACAGAAATGCCCCAAGAATCTGAAGCAGCCTAATTAAGATAAAAAAGATAGATAATCCATTAATATAACTTATGCTTAGCTAAAGCCAATGAAAATTCAGAGTTCATGATTATTAGAATCATTCCAATTACATATAGTATGCATACCTCAATGGTTGCCACAACATATTCAGAAAGTAGAGATATGACCAATGTCATACCCACCAACCAGGAAAATGCACTCCAAAATCCAATCACGGCTTTCTCTTCATCGTCGTCCTCCTAAAAGTCAAATGATCAAAACCAACATCTAATTAAAGTGGTTATATAGTCTCAATCCTAAGTTTGCTTCTGCATGCTCAAAATATTTCACATAACTTATTCTATAATATGACCTATGTAAATATATTGAATACATTATAGTGAGGGTTAACAGTAGACAAAATTTAACATATATAATTATAATTAATTATACTTAATTACAAAATATAACTGCATATATATATATATATATAATTAAATTGCAATATTATAATTTTTTTATATAACAATTTTAGTATATACGTTGCTAATGCATCAATTCACCTTTTTGGTTGTACTTCTATGATCAGTATTGTTTTAATTAATTATAATTTAATTATTTATTTTCTCTCTTCTCTCATGTTCTTAACTCTCTCTTATTATGCTTCCTATATAAAAGATAATTTTAAATGTAATTTTAGTGGATCTAAATATATTATAGTTTTTGATAAAATAACCCACTGGGAGAGTTATTTTCTATCATGTTTACATTTGTTGTGGTGATAGTTAATTATCACTTTATATTAAGCCTTTAATTTACAGGAAATATTTTTTTACAGAAACCATGGGGCTAATTAAATGTAGTAAAATTGAAAGAAAAATAAATTGTGGCTAAATATCAATAATCACCTCTTGTGCATCAAACAATTTTCGATGAGTTTTTAATTGAAAGAAGATATATGCAACATATGCTAGAAGCATAACAACGCTGCTTGCTCTTGACAGCTGAAGAGTGCTTGTGGCTATAGAATAAGTGCCCCCTCCTAACGCGTATTTGAACAGCAATGGCAGCAAATGGCATAGCAACCCCAGTAACAGAAGCAGCGAGTTTACATCAGCCTGTTTCTGTTCATTCAACAATGAAAATAAATAAATGATAAACAGTGAACCATTAAGAAATTTTTTAATTTGAGAAAATAACTTTGTTTTTATTTTTAACTCTAAAATGATTTTTCTAATAAAAATAATAAAATATTCCAAAAGTTAATATGATAAAAATATTATAAATTTTTTTAAAAAATATTATCAAAATAAAAAATATTTTTATATAAATATTTAAAAATATAAAAATACTTTTTATAATTATAAATGGAAATTATTTTCTCAAATCCAAACCGAAATTAAATAAGATAAGAAGTAGGATATTTACTCTCTCATATCTCTGCTCTCTCTTAAGATTGGCTAAGCCACCACAGAGAAGTGAACTTCCAAGAACTAAGAGAAGGTTTGAGAGAATGGAACCGAGTAGGGACAACTTGACAACATTTACTTTGTTCTTGTGAAGTGCTAATAATGCTATTATCATCTCCGTTGCATTTCCACAGGTTGCATTCAGTAGCCCCCCAACTTCACATGCACATAAACCAAAACCAAATTGGTTTCCTTTACCACACAACGCCATATAATATATTATATGTATGAGTTACAGATATCAAATTCATGGTACCTGTTGGGCCAGTGAAGTATGCAATTTGCCTTCAAGTTTGTGCGTTCGAGGTGATAAAAAAAATTAAACATAAGTCAGAAACATATCAACTTCTATCGGTCATATAATATATTAAATGTACAGTGAGTCTGTGGAGTTAGTAGGTGACATGCAAACTTACTCAGTGAGGAAGCTGACACGTTCAGCTAGGGGAGCAAGTCCAAGCAGGCTGAAAGCAAATATCCAAGGCTACGTGCCATAAAAGCAATTAGATTTTACGGTGATATTTCAGATTTAATTACTTATGTGTTAAGAAAATTAATTATTTTACATCCATTAAACACGTGTAAAATGAATGAAGAAAAGAGAGATAATTAAATAAAAATAAAAATATAATAGATATTTATAGTATATGATGAATTCATTTCAACCAAGGCATATTGGGTAATGAATAAAGGTTGTCATACATTTTATTTTTAAAATGTATTTGATGAAAAAAAAAATACAAAACATAATACACAATATAATGTTATAAAAAATGAGATAAAATAAAAGTGAAAGTATTATATTGATATATAACTATAATTATTGTTAAATAATATAAGGAGAGAGAGTCAAACAAAAGCAAGTTATTATACAATTTTTTTATAATTTTATACTGGTTAATAATATATGTTTATATAATTAATAACATTTTTATTTAACAAATTAATATTCAACTCCTATATCATAATAATTAATTATTAATTTATTAACAACTCAAAAAACACATGTCATTAGTTAATTAATCATAAATTTATATATCATTAATTGGTGTAAATATTTGAAGAAAAGTGAAGTGTGCGAATATATATGATATTTAAGATAATACATATTTAGTATATATTTGGTTTAATTTAGCTTGACAAAATAATCATTTATTTTTCACAGTTTTATGAAAAAAAATTAAAATAAGTAATTTTTCCAAAAGAAAAAAGTTAGTCCAAAAGTTCAATTCAAATATATTATCTTCATAAAAAAATCAGATATATTATCACAACTGCCTATATGTTTAACAAATGGCATGTGTAAAGTGAGTTGGAAATTATAATATATATACTTACCCTTCCAAAGCTATAAAAATTTGCAACAACAGCTAAAGGGACTGCCGGAAAAAGCACCACAAGTTTAGTGCCAAAGAAGACCTCTCGAAAATTGGTCATCAAATCTCTAAGCATTTGAAAACGAGCGTTATTTGTGACCAAAACTATATCTGACTTCTTTCTAACCATGGAGTTCTTCACATTAGTACTATCACAAACCTCCATGTTGTTCTCCAAGTCTTCATCCAAAGTGGGTGGCAGTGACATTGATCTTGATGTGGTGGCTTGTGAGTAGGTGTTCATGTGCATTAATTGTGCAGAGAGGGGAAAAAATTATGCCTTAGACTTGTTTTCTCTTTTGGGGTGGTGAAAGTGCAAACGAGCTTAAATATGTAGGACTAACAAAGAAGCGTATTGATTTGGATGAATATATTATGGTAATTTGTGTTAGAGAAAAATAATTTTTGGTGCTTTCATTGTATACACATTAACAAGTTGCCATAGTGGCTTTCCAATGTAGTACTGTGAAGCTTCGTGGAACTTTCGCAACTCTTGCTTGCATGAGCCACGTATATGTGATGAGTGTTTTATTGTTGTGGAAGGGTGTTCCTATATATGTTCATGGGAAATTGGGAATCGGTGAACTTTTAACTTTTTGGTGTAGATATATAAGATAGACGTAAGAATTACTACTATTATAGTTATAGAATAAAGAAGGAAAAAACTACTAGAGGGGAACAAAAACCTCGTACTTGCTTGAGCTGAGGGCACGAATTATTAATGGTGGAACATGAATCTTCCTATGCTTAGTACATTTTCCACTACTTTTTTATTTTAATTTTAGTGTGGATCGTTTGTCATTTTGCATTGCCTGACCTTGCACCGGACAACGGGGAAATTCACCGATTAGAAAAGCTGGTCACTGATTTTATATATATAATTTTTGGATAAAAGATATATTTAAGCTAGTCTATCTATAATTATTAACGATGAAAATTATTTGCGATTCCTTTTCAGTCAACCAGTTCTAGACCATACCAAAAAAAAAAAAAAACCTGAGGATTAAACCACCGAGTTCCATTGGGAAATGCAACCCGAAAAAAAATCCTGATATATTATATATAATTTACACTCGGCTAAAATTTAAAATTTTATTACCTAATAATACGCGTATTTTAGTTCTAGTTAAGAATTATAATTGGATCTTTGATAAATTTTTAAGGGTTTAAATAATTTAGCTTTATATTATAAATTTAAATGTTTATTCTTATATGCAATCTTTTTAAAAAATATGTGATATTTCTCATGAAATTTTTTTTTATTACTTTTTAATATTAATATTTAAATTCAATTAATATTAACTTAGATTAAATTTAAAATCTTAATAAATTATATCAAATTAAAGAGACTTATTTTTAAAGGATAACTTAAAATTTAAAGATTACTGATTATGATTAAAAAAAAAACCCATTAGGATATGAATGTAATGGTCATGTAACATGACTAGGTAATGAAGGATTATCTGATTTTAACTACAAATTCATAATATCAACCCACTGATGTGCCACAAACAAATCAATCGGACATAAGAATGCAAATTACAATTGACATTGGCATAGCAACGGGTAACCTAAACTTCTGGGAATTTTCAACAAGAGAACCATACAATCATGCACTTCATTGTTCATGTCATTTAGCAAGATCATAGATACACACGCTGCCAAATACACTACTTCCTTCATACCAATTTATTTTCCGCGTTTCAAAGATATGTAATCACTGATTAGAGATGAAGTTTCCTACCACTCTGTCGTCTTTACCTTGGAAGAATTATACGTACTGCTATGTTAAACCTTGCAACTTGAGCACACAATTATGTGAATGTATATTTATTTCTTCAAGACTTTCTTATATAAATCCAATGTATTCTAAATCTGGAAGATAGACTATAACTGTTGGAGTCATTATCCGTGTTTTGGGTTTGTCTTATTTTTCTCAAGGGTGATGTGATACTTTAATTAGGTTCTTTTATTTTTTTACTTTTCACTTTGTTTATGTTTTCATTTTCTGAAAAAATTAAGGAAATAATAAAATGTATTGCTTTTTACTCCAATTAGTAATTTCATTTAATGAGGTAAGATTATAATCAAATTAAATGATATCACTAATAATTTTTTTTTATCAAAAATAAATGTATCCATTCAACTATCAAATTTAAAGTTCTCATAAAACAAATCAAGTTTACAAAACTTCATACATTAAAAAATTAATTGATATTTTATTATCTCACTTTATTTTAATATATGACATATTATTTAAAATATAAGTAAACAATTACTATATTAAGTAACCACTAATGTTGTATAACTAGGAATGATTGTCACAACAATTTACTATTTGCATTGCTTGTGACTCTTTTAATCAGTCGAATTATTGTTAGAAGAATCGTGATTACGGGCCGTGACTTCAACGCACCTCATAGTTATGAAATTTTTGTTATGAAAATTTTAAAAATAATTATCTCAGACCTATAATTTTGAGTGTCAAAAACTTGCACGTGTGTAAGAAATTAACAACAGCGGGTAATTATGGAAAGCGAAAGAATTAGATAGAATTAAACTAAATTATTGGATAATAATTAATGTTACCCGAACTGATTATTAAATCATACCTCAGTAAGTTAGACTGTTAAGAGTCAGTTCGTATCCATTGTTTCTTTTTTCTTTTTTGGATGATTTGATTGCATAACTCAGGCAAGAGACAAACTTTTTACTATTAAATAAGTGGATCAATTCGTACGAAATTATTCTCATTTAATCAATGATACTGTGTAATTTTGTAGATAATATCACTGATAAAAAATATATGTTTTGGGTCCCAGAAAAAGTTATTTTTGTAAAAAAGAGAAAAAGAGGGATATAGATCAGTCAATACGTGGGCCGCAATAGTCCAATAGGAGAATGGGCTTTATCAGTTTTACTGCGGGCCATTGCAAAATTCTAAAAACTAAATTATATATGAATTTGTGGATAAAAAAGAGTTAAATGAATTTATATCAAACATTAATTGGTGCGTTCCACGACTCTTTAATGCAATTGATGTCTGGTTGAGTGACGAAGATAAAGCAAAGCATAACTTATGCGACTATCTCTTGTTTCATGTGCCAGTTTCATTCACGAATCTATGGATTATGAAATCCATGTTCCTTTCCTTTTATTAAGCATGGCATGAAATGGAGAAAAGAATTCACACTTTCACTCTTTAATGACCAACAACTAAGGACTCATTTGAAGTTGAGCAATAAAAAATGAAAAGAAAGAGGAAGAAGAAGAAGACAGTATTAACAGAGACATTCCTAGTGGGAAGCGGCATGTGATAGGAAGTGAAAGTGAAAAATATTTTATACAATTCATTAGGACCTATGATACAACTTATATTAGATTTATATCAATCCTTTTTTATTATTATTATTACGTTCATATTAATATTACTTTATAAAATTTTATTGTAATAGTTTTATCTATTAAAAATATCATGTTACAAAATAGTAACTTTTTTAAATAATCTTTTAAAAATTTCATATTAAACTTAAAAATTTACATGCACACGCATGAAGTATGTTTAGTAAGAATAATTTTATTTAAATATAAGAATTATAAATTTATATTATTCAATTATAAACTAATGATTAAAAATAATAATTAATAGTTGCATATTCACTTAAAATATTATATATATATATATATATAACCATTTTAATAATTTAAATAAAATATAATGATGTATACTCACTATTTTTATTTCTCAAATTATATGACTTTAGTAAAGGTGTACATTGTGATAACTTGACGTCGTGTTGTGAGTTTTAATTGACAGGAATGATGAGATTGCACTCTGTTTGTTTTTTTTGCTTATCCGTACGGAAATATTTATAGATATATTTGAAATGAATATCTACATATTAATAAAATAAGTATGAAGGAATATTATGCTACTTGTTTTACGGGTATTCGCATACACATACTTTTTTTTATTAGATATATTTAAAATATAATATTTTTATTATTTAGTGATGAGATAAATTTTATTTTATATTATTTCATAATGATATTCTTAATCTATTAAATTATAATAATATTATTCTTTTAATATCCACTAATTATAACGAGTATAGATACAGATGATATATTAGCGTCAACTTTATATGCATCTTTCCTTCTGCTCAAAAAGTTTACTGACCATAATACACCATTAATTAATTCTACTTTTCAAAAAGGATGACACATATAAAATGGAATCACATTTTCAAGTTTGCCGTCAAATTGACAAGGTTCACCGAATCGGCTTGCTATTCAAGAGTTTAAATATAATCTCACGACTCCTGTAGTCTTGTGTTGAAACAATGAGGAGATAAAAAGAATAATGGATTTATAATAGTCATACTTGTTATAAAACGTAAAACTATCGGGAGTAAATAAGAAAATAAGGAGAATAATATTAGAAAAATTTTAATTTTATTTTATTATATATTTTTAATATAAATCAAATGTCTTATTCATAAGTTTAAATTTATAAAGATCAACATTAAATCATAATATTTCATAATGTTTTCACTTAGATATATGTTTATTATTTAATAATGTGTTTCATAATATTTAATTAGAAATTTTTTTATAGAATAAAAATATAGTGAAAAAAATTATATTATCTTTTAATACACTAGTAGATTATCTCTCATTAGAAAAATTTAATAAAAAAAATCACAATTTAGAAAAAAAAAATTAAGAGTATACGACATTTAAATAAAAATAACTTTTTTTAAAAGAAAAATCAAACATATCTTCAAATTTATTGTTATCTTTAAATAATGAAAAATTAACTTGATGAATTTATTATTATTCTTTAATATAACGAATCTGTTTTTTAAAGTTGTTAACTAAAAATCAATTATAAAAAGAGATAATGTATGATAGTTTATTATCTTGATACGAATAAGTATTAAAGTATGCATGTCTCCAAGTAAATATTAAATTTTTTTTATCTCATTAGATCTTATAATTAATTTTAAATGTTTGATTAATATCAATTTCAATAAACATATACTAATAATTAAAAACTGAAATTCACTAGCATTTCTTAATTACATAATCAAGAAAATTAACTTTTAAACGAATTACTTGTTCATTACTTGTTATTTCAGCATAATATTCATTTTTGCATATATTCTTGAATATTTATTTTAATATAATATAATTTTATTCTACAAGATAATAACATATTAACTTTGTTACAATTTTCAATAATTCTTGTACTACAAGATGATGTAGTATTAACATTGACTTGAATTTTTGCTCTCCTGCAAAAATCATTCCTTTAGCCTTACTCAAAGTATTCGCTTAAGCATATCTCAATTTACTTAAGTAAATGATATAATTTAAGTCACACGGAAGATAATTCAATCATAAATTCTTTTGTGTGGCTCTACTGCAATGTTTTTGTTTTAAATTTTTTAGTTGTTCCAATAAGAACATATTTATGTATTCTACTTGTGTTTGTCTCATCTCACGAGTGTCAAACGAAAGCTTAGACTATTAATGTTTAATTTAAGATGTACTCTTCTCTTCCACGTTTGAAATATTTTTGTTACTTTGATTGGGATGGTTACTTAGATGCAGGACGACTTTATTAATGGATTTTAAATTTACTTAAGTTTCTCTTTTATTTTCTAGAGATTAAAGGGATCTCAATCATTTTCCAACATGACCATATAATTCATCTTCAATTAGACGAATTAAGATTCACTTAAACAAATCCTAACCGCCCACGATTTGCATTTTTGCTAATGCAAATCTTGCATATCTGAGTTGGTTCATTTCCTTCAAAAATCGAAACAGTACAAGGAAAATAATGGATACACAATTAATCCAAGAGCAACTCCAAACCGAGTCAAATCTTGCATGTCTGTGCTAGACATCTTAAGCGTCGTGTTGGTTGCGTTCAATCTCCCACCAAAGCTGCCCTTCATCGACAACCTTCATCAACTAAGCACGTTGCCATATTGTTCCTTCCAAGCCCTCTTTCACAACTATGGTCCTCTCATGTTGCTACAGCTAGGCCAAGTCTCAACTCTCAACACTAGGTTCATCTTTGGATATAGTCAAAGAAATATTCAATTTTCAACTGCCCCAAGGCTATCGTTGTTGAAATCTTTCTATATGGATACAAGGATGTGGGCTTCGCTCCCTTCGACGAAGAGTGGAAACAGAAAAGAAAGATACGTGTTTTTATGAGGTTTGATTTCCATGATGTTCCTACACAGGTTCCACCTAATATTTCCAACGGCTCAATTTCACCTGACATAATTATGTCCGATTTACATTTTCATTTAAGCGAATTTCAATTTGCTTAAACGAAAATGAAAATCGTGGGTGGTCAAACATGGTGAAAGATAGAGTTTTAATTTGCTTAAATAAAAATGACACTTCTGTTTCTATGTAAATGGGAAAGGATTGAGGTTCAAATAAAGAAGTAAACATTCATTTCTTAATTTTCATATGAAGCTGTGTATATAAGCTCTATTTGCCGACAAAGCGTGAAATTTAGTGGATCATTTATCGACTAAATGGATTTAGTTCCCCCTTCAATCCTACCCACCTCACTTTAATGTGGTAACTAATTTTCCATGAACATTGTGCGTAATCCTTTCTTCTTCCATCAATCCCATCAATATTTATATATTAAATATGACTTCTTATTTTTAAATAAAAATACTTTTAAGAGTTATTTTAAATAAGAATGTTTTAATTTTTTATGACACTTTTCATACATTAAACAATTAATTTTTAATTAAATATTAATTTAAATTTTGAGATTTTGATAATTTATAGTTATTTGGCGAAGGGGGGTAGGATGTGGGCTGCGGATCCTCTCCTGCAGCAGGGTGTGACTAGCATTTTTTAATGTAACAAAGAATTGTGATCCATCAATGATATGAAGAACTGAGAATTGAAATCTTAAGATGAAAAATAAATAAAGAGATAGAGGATACGCAACGATAATTATAAATAGAGTAGGAGAAATAGCAGGCAATGATGGATATGGGAGAATCGTTGAGTGCTTGGTGTCGGCTCAAGAGGCATTATAAATTGACACCAAAATCTGGTTCTGGCGCGCGTCCTCTTCCTCTCTCTTTAACACGCCAAAACCTTTATCCGCTTCGTGTATTCGTCATTCACGTCACCCTTCAATAATCCATCCTATGACCTTATGGTCACTGATTCCATACCCATTCCCCGTCGTGGACTCATCGTTGGCAATTACTGCCATGACGTCCTCCACCGTGATGGCATCATCGTCGCCGAAACCCTCGGCGGCGCCGCCTCCTTCATCTCCGCCGTCCTCGACGCCCTCTCCCTCCCCTTCCATACGCTCTCCAAGGTGGGCCCAGAATTCGCCTACGCCACCGTCACTTCCAATCACCCCCCTCTCGTTGTTCCCACTTCCCCAACCACCCTCTTCCATGCCCACTTCGATTCTGCTAACCCCGACAGGACCCTAAACCGGGTCCGGGCCTGCGAGCCCATTAGGCCCATGGACCTCCCCAACGAGACCCGTTTCGGGTTCGGAATGGCAGTTGGAGTTGGCGGGGAGATACTCCCGGAGACCTTAGAAAAAATGGTGGAGATTTGTGAGCAAGTGTTCGTTGATGTTCAAGGTCTGATTCGTACGTTCGATGGGGAAGATGGGAGCGTGAAACACGTGCGGTTGAAGGAGAGTGGGTTCTTTCATCTGTTGCCGCGGATTGGGTTCCTTAAGGCATCCGCTGATGAGGCTTCGTTTCTTGATTTGGACGAGGTGAGGCGGTGGTGTTGCGTGGTCGTCACGCACGGGAAGGATGGGTGTGAAGTGTTTTGCAAAGATGGGGCATTTCGTGTTGCACCTTTTGAGGCTGATCAGGTTGATCCCACCGGCGCCGGTGACTGTTTTCTTGGTGGTTTCGCCGCCGGGATTGTGCGGGGTTTGGCTGTGCCTGATGCTGCTTTGGTGGGGAATTTCTTTGGTTCTTTGGCTGTGGCACAAGTGGGACCTCCCAAGCTTGATGTGAACTTGTTTCAGGTTTGTTTCTCGGATTATTTTTTAATCATATGTTAGTGATGATCATGCCTGTGTCAATGCAGTTATTATTAATTTGACAAGTGGGTAATTTGTTCAGTTGGTTAAATGGTTGATTGAATTTGTAATTAAATAAGTGGTTAGTTTAGTCTGACAATTGGTTAAATGGTCCTTGTGGATATGGGTTCTCGTGTTGTTTGTGTTTATGTTTTTGTTACTTGAGAATGTGTGGTTGGGTATTCTGAAAATTTGTTCCCCGATGTTCAGGGGTAGGTACTAAGCATACTTTTTCTAAAAACAGCATTGGTTTGTTTGTGAATTGGGCATGAATTGAGGGGATGTTTTTAAGTTTGCTGAATTTTATGGATTAGTTTGAGATTTTTGTTGAGATTAACTTCTATCAGAGCTTTCCATATTCTCACAAGTGTCTTGCTTGCAATGTCTAGAAGAAAATAGATATTTAGATTTTTATTTAAGCCCTAAGAAAACTTTAGGATTACTTCATGCTCCTTTTCTATATACACCTCGCCGTTTCACGTCATACTTCCTTTTCTGAAGTTTGTTGTCAATATGAGTATGTATACTAATTACTATGGAGAGATGAAGAGTGGATTTTGACAATTATAGGGGAATGGAATGAACAGGGAATAATTTAGTGTCCGTTTGTTTTAGATTTTGGTTGAATTGATTTTGAACCATTGAATGTGAATCCAAATTAATCTCAGGCACGGATTTCACATTGGAACATGTACCACGGTGGGTGAAACTGATGATTCTGTGTGTAATGGCAGCTTATATGCTGATTTAAAGGTCAAATGAACTAAAGCTAAAAAGATGCTTTTATTGATCAAACTGAATGAACCTAGCTCAGTACAGATGATGTTAACAAGGAAATGATTCCTGGTTCACGTAGAATTTCATCATTTTTTGGAGTCTGTCTGTTTAGTTTTACTGTAAACTCCTGTTTGAACTATTTCTTTTCTACAGTTACTTTGGTCTTAGTTGATCTTAAGAAAGAAAAGCATACACATCAAACGTAATGAATATCAAATTAAAATTGAATGATGGTAAAAAAAAAAATAAGGCATAGCAAGATCAAAGAAAGTGTCTGCAATCTGCAGCAATAAATATGAAAATTGAAAATTGAAAATAATGATCATAAGCTTGTGCCAGAGCAGATTCGGTGTGTAGCAAATTACGTGTATTTGTCACTCAATTGGCACTGTCCTTTTTATTTCTGTTCTCAGTTGTGTCTGCATCAGTGGCTGTAGTTTGCTTTTTTATACATTCATATGCTCTTCTTAGCAGTGTAAAAATAAATGTAATGATGTATCCCTGACTTTTATTCATATAATAATTGTAAAATTCAGATGCTTAAGGACGAGATGCACAAAAGGAAGGTGCAGGACGATCCCTGCTTAGAAAGAAGAGAGGAGTGGCCGGGGTTTCAGAAGCCCCCTGATGAAGATCAATTCTATGCATCTCTTGTTGCTGTCAAAGGCATAATTATGTGTGAGATTCAAGAATCTGAATGGAATCTTCTAAGTTCTCCTAAAGTGTTGGAGCAAAATAATGTGAAGGCAAGACTTTCACTGAATTCTGTCCACGAAGAATCAATTCCAAGCGTTGATCGTAAACCTTAATATCATGGGATGGTTGGAGTTCTCAAGCTCGTTGCAATTCTCCACCAGTCCTTCCTTTTTGTCTCAAGTGTAGAGATCTCTTCGCTTGAAGTAATATTTAATTTTATGGTGTTTTTAGTACACCCAGCCTCACGTGTAGCCTAATTCGTAGTTCTAGTAGCACTAAATTACTAATAAATTGTTCTTGAAAACATCAAGAGATTGAAATTCCATTCATGTTTTTATACTTTGCCATTTCCACTTTTTTTCCGTTCTTTTCTTCTGACTAGTTTCTGCTCCCGAAAACAAATAAGAAATAACAAAGTGACAGTGTCTAGGCACCGCCGTTCTACTGCAGTCGGACATTGCCACAGTTCTCTTATTTTGCTAACTTAAACCATATCATTTAGAGCAATTTATTATTATGCTCTGCTTGATTGGCTCTTGTTTGTGATTTAGCATTTTTAATTCAATTTTTTTACCCATTTTGTGACAAAAAGGACAAAAATATAACAAAACATTTGTACAAGATTAAAATATAATTTTTTTTAAGTATAAGAATTGATTTATAAATGAGGGAAGGATCAATTATGATTTTTAAAGGGTCAACTGGGTAACAGCAGAACTTCGTAGATTCTGTGTGGGAAGTGTGAACCTTACTATCTTAGGACCTTCTAAGATGATTGAAAATTTTCAGTGAAGGTACAAAATTGGTAATAGGAGTGTTTAAAATTTTATTTCACCCTTAAAAACTAGTTGTAGGTGATACTAAAAGTTATAAAAGAAAGAAAATATTTTTGAGAAGTTAGTTCATAATTATTCACTTTCTTTAAAAGTTTGTTTATATTGAAATAGATTGAGTGCAACATATGTTATTTTTTAGAAAGAAAAAAAAAGTAACAAATTTTGTAAAATTATAAGTGACAATCTAATTTAAACATGTTTAGTAACAAAAAAGAAAAATCAAACATGTTTCAAGCATGAAAATGCAGCTTCCCATGTGTAAATTAAAATATGTAGGGATATAAGAATAAATATTTTTTGAAAACAGAAGTCTTAAATGAGTTGTTAAAAAAGTTTACATACAATGGAAGTTTTCTTTTAAGTTAAATATATAATTTAATTTAATTTTCCACGTAATTCAAATTCTAAAAAGAGTAATGTTGTTGATATAATGCGTTTTTCATAACACTCTTTATAATATATTTTTTCTTTATCTTTTAATGTTTACATTGATTATTTTATCTCCTTTTTAATCTCTCCTTTTCTCTTTATTATATATAAAAAATTATACAATGTATGTATCTTTAATTAGAAACAATCTGTTTAAACAAGTAGAATACTATATAGACGATGAAACGCTCTTTTTAAGTATTTAATACATGTTTAGAAGAAAAAAAATGTACATGTTTCAAGCATAAAAATGCACCTTCCCATATGTAAATTAAAATATGTAGTAAGGATACAAGAACAATAATTTTTTAAAAGCAGAAATATTAAATGAGTTGTTAAAAAAGTTTACATACAATAGACAATTTTTTTTCAGATTAAAAATATATAATTGAATTTGATTTTTTAAGTAATTCAAATTCTAAAAAGAGTTATTAAGAGTGTCGAAAAAAATTATTTTCGACCGATACCCGATAACACCTATGCATAATTGTTATGATTGAGCAGATCGGTTAAATATGAGTTGGTCTAAAAAATTAATTTAAAATTTGAAATGGGTAGAAATGGACGGAAACGGATTTGAGCTTTTAATTTTGTCAAAATTTAAACCATCCGATTATATTTATATAAACTTGCTTTTGACTTTCAAGGATAAGGGTTCAGTTTTCAATTTTATTTTAGGTTACTTTTTTTTAGTGGCTCAAAGCCTGAAGTATGCAAGCCTAGTTTTATTTCACATCATCTTTTTATTGAGGGCTTCAAAAGCCTAAAGGTGTACCTACTCATCGGTCATATAACATCACATTGTTATCTACCATAACACTGCTTCATTGTTTAATGTTCATTGTTTCACTTTCTTTGCTCCAAAAACCTAACTCTTGCTTTTATCTCTCATCTATGCAAATTATAATGAATGTCATTGTCTCCCTTAAGTCGTGATAAGTACAAAGTTACTCTTCTTTTTATTATGTGTCTAGATTGAGTTCCACCACAGTCCTTTTCTCCTATTTCTATGGCATATTCTTTTTATGTACTCATCATCTCCATTTTTTTTCCTCTTCAAAGTTTATTTGAATGTCTCTTCTCACATATTTTTCATGTTTTTCTTATATCATGTGACGTTGGCACAATGGGCTAAGAAAGATATGAACAGTATAATCTTAGTCTTTGTTGAACTCTTAGACTCCAAATGGTGATAGTTCTAATATCGTCGCTTCCCTCTTTTCATCATAAGGTACTTCTCTTCTCATCTCTTTATTTATTATATTTTCATGTTTTAGTTCTATTGGTACTTCTCCCAAACTTATGAAATTTATTTTTTCTATTCTTTTTTTCTTTGTTTTCTTTTAAAGTTCTATTTCAATGTTTCTTTTTAGACTTCATATTCTTAATATTGGATTATTAGATTGTGGATGTTATTTTTAAAAAGGTAGTAAAAAAAAAGCATTTGGTCAATCAAAACGCAAGTAAAGGTATGTTATATCTTAGTAATTTTTTTATTTCTCATTGATTTTGTTTTTATTTTCCTTTGGCTTTAAGTATTATTTTATATTTTGTGATAAGATGTATTATGACTTGTATATATTGATTCTTTCAACATAAATATTGATAAATTTGATTCATATTATGACTTATATATCTTGAATAACTTTTTTGTTTCTAATTTAATTTTTTGTCTCCTCTATTATTATTGTTATTATATTTCTGATTTTGTGATATGACGTATTGCGTCTTATATAATTTTTCTTTGTATATTATGATTTTTATTTCATTTTGTTGATAAATATGTTAAAGGTCAAATAATGATTCCATTTATATATGTAAAGTGGATAAATTTGATTAGAGCTTATTCATTAAACTCAAGTACTTTTAAAACTCAATATAGTAGATTAAATTTAACAAAGACTTCATCATTGTTTAGTAATGGAGTAGTCTAGTCAAAGTTTACCTCCTATATACTAGAACAAGTACCAATAACATCTATAATGAAGGGGTTGCAAAAATCTCATGAATTCTGCACCAACAATAGAAGTTGGTGGTGAAAGTCAACCCATAAACCAACCATTTGTTGCAAATGAGGTTGCTAGAGCTGGTTCCACTAATCCTCTCTCAAGTAATAGAAAGAAAAGAAAATATAATGCAAATGGCAATCAAAGAACCTCAAGTGCTTGGGAGCACTTCATTAAATTATCTGAAAATGAATCTAAAGAACCTATGGCAACATGTAAATATTGTGGTAAAACATATTATTGTGACAGTAAGTTACATGGAACATTTAGCATGCTTAGTCACATTAAAGTTTGTAAGAAATTTACATATACTGTGAGTCACGATCCCAATCAAACTGTCCTTTCATTTAGGAGTGGAGAAGGTTCTAATCTAGTTACAATTAGCCAAAGATTTAATTATGAATATTGTAGGAAGGCATTGGCTTTTTTTGTAATCTTAGATGAAAAACCATTCAAAGTAGTTGAAGGAGAAGGTTTTAAATATCTTTGCAAACAATTGCAACCGCAATTGATAGTCCCCTCAAGACATATAATGTCCAATGACTGTTTTCAAATTTACTTAAGTGAAAAAATTAGGTTGAAGGCCTATTTTAAATCTGATTGTCACTACTGATTGGTGGACACCTATACAAAACCTGAATTACTTGACTCTTACAGTTCATTTTGTAGATAATGAGTGGCATTATCAAAAGAGAATAATTAAATTTTTTATAGTTCCAAATCATAAAGGTGAAACAATAGGAAAATAAGCTGAAGAAGTTTTGAGAGAATGGGGGCTTAGAAATATTTCTACAATTACAATTGATAATGCATCATCTAATGATGTTGCTGTAGCATACTTGAAAAAAAGAATTTAAGAACATAATTTGATAGTTTTGTCATAACGATATATAATGAGTCTAATTGAATAGGACTTTAGTCCACAGGCAAGTTTTATGTCACTAGATTCATGAATTAAAGCATGTTTGCATTGGTAAAACATGATATTTATTTTATCTTTAAATTATGATAAGCATGTGGTATTTTGAACTTTACAGTTTCTCAATCTATGAATATTTCTGATATTAAATATGGTATTCTCGAGTTAAGGGGTGACAATTATAAGATCTGAAAGGAAAGAATTCTTCTCCATTTAGGCTGGATGGACATTGATTATGCTATTAGGAAAGACGAACCACCGGCAATTACTGAGACTAGCACTCCAGATGCAGTTGATCTTTATGAAAAGTGAGAGAGGTCTAATCATCTTTCCGTGACTTTCATAAAGACCAAAATTTCTGCTGGTATTCGGGGTTATATTATCAGCATAATAAAGTCAAGGATTTATTGAAGGCCATTGATGAGCAATTTACTACTTCTGATAAATCTTTTGCCTGCACCCTTATAATGCAATTTTCATCCATGAAGTTCACTAGGATTAGAGGGGTGCGTAATCATATTATGCGCATAAGGGATATAGTGGCTCAACTGAAAGCTTTGAAGGTTACCATGTTAGATTCCTTCTTGGTACACTACATTTTATGCACCTTGCCTCATGGATATGCCCCATTTAAGATCTCTTATAACACACATAAGGATAAGTGGTTTGTTAATGAATTGTTGACCACATGTGCTCAAGAAGAGGAAAGATTACTGATGGAAGAAGGGGAGAGGGTGAACTTGACCACTTTTGTGAAGAATAAAAAGAATCAAGTTAATCACATGGGAAAGCTTTCTGTTTAGCCGAACATAAAAAAAAAGTCAAAGTGTTTCTTTTGAAAAAAAATAAGGACACATGAAAAAAGACTACCTGAAATTCAAGACTTGACTGGACAAGAAGGGTAATCTATTTGCTTTTATTTGTTATGAATCTAATATGGTTGATATTAATCATGACACATGGTGGATTGACTTTGGTTCTACAATCCATGTTTGTAATACCTTGCAGGTTATGCAAAACGCAAGGAGACCAGTGAGAAGTGAGCAATGCATCTACTCGGGAGTAGGATGAGTTTACATGTGGAGGCCGTTGGGACGTGCAGTTTAACTTTAAGTAGTGGCTTTGTTTTGAATTTAAAAAAGACATTTTATGTT